CAAGCGAGGACAACCAGCTCCTTCAGAGAATTTGCACAACAAACTGTCCCATTCAGGGCAGCTATCAGGCATTCAATGCCCTTTCATCCTAAAGGAGAAAAGTATTTTGGCAGATAAACACTTTTTAAGCAATTATGTTGGAATTCAAAGCACATTCTTCAGCATCGGCAATATTTTGAAGTGGTGAAAGGTTTGAGATCTTCAGACAGCTCCTTCTGTCCAGGATGGCATGGGCATGGGAATCAATGAAAGGATCAAATGGGGCACAGGCTATTGAACATAAGTTTGCTTCAGAACAGGCATACCCTCACTGCAATTTACTGAGGAGAAGCAAAGCTATCTGTTTTTTCCAGATTTCAGAAATTAATCCTCATCCCAGATCTCGTACTCTGGAATCTCAAGATCCATCATTTTGACAGACCTCAATGTACCTCCCAAAGGTCTGCTAGATTCTGCTGGAAAGTTTAAGATTTGCTACAGGAAAAAGGAAAAAAAACCCACCCAAAACCTACAACCAAACCAAGACACATGCTATGAAGTGAAGGAGATTTTCTACTTGGGCTTCTGACAATAACATTTCCTATGTCTGCTGGAATCCCTAACATACTGAACTACTTCTTAGCTATTAAGAGATCTGGGTCTGCTTTAAGTTCAGTTAAAGTTCATCTGGCAGCTTCATCAGCCTGCTCTTCTGGCTAATGTTCTTGGCCTTGGTACCCACAGCAGGGGAAGAAAAAAAAGAGCTTGCTATGATGAGAGTTTTCTGTTTGGGTTTGTTTGTTTGGTTTTTTTTAATTTTAAAAACCCAATACAAACAAAAGGGATGTGGGGAGGGTACTATGTAAATTCCATTAAATCTATATTCTGCAGAGACTTAATTTTTTTCCTAAGACTCAAAGTAAAAATTTTAGTATCTTATTAGCTATCTGTTGGAAGGCTGCGGTCTCAAATCAGTTATCAAGGAAATGTAGCGCACCTTCTTGCATGCAGTATTTCCACATAAGTAGGTACAGTTTCTGCATCATCAATCCCTATTCAAATTAATTCTGAATTAGAGAGAGGAGCACAGCATGTGTCATCTTCTCTGTCTTCCCATCAGGAGTATCTAAGCCCCATAATTAAAAATGTTAAGTACGTCCTTGCACGATCACCTACTTACTAGACTTTCAGTGTGTATAGTTTTAAGAACACTGAGGTGAAGTCCAGTTTTCAGATACTGTCCAAGAAAAGTGGCACTTCTATTTTTCTCTACTTGACTAGGAGAGAAAAAGAGGGAAGTCTGCTGAAGCTGTAAGAAAACAGAGCACAATAACAAGTATGTGTGACTTAGCTGACACAAATCAGTCTTGACACCGTCCAGAAAGGACTGCAAATTGTTAAACATTTGTTAAGCATCATTGCCAATCAACCTCCTGGACTCATACAACTGTTGGCTTTCACTATGCAACTCCTCAGAGCAGGTTCCCTTGTCAAAGTACTACAGAATATGAATTGCTCGGGACAAATTACTACTATGCATTGTAAGTAATTATGAGAAGAGAAACTAGGCTATGAAATGCAACTAAAACTAACCTGCAGAGTAAGAAGGGTGAAAGAGTGGGAACAAACACTATCTGTAGCAACACCATATGGGAAAGGCCTAAAAATGTTACTTTAGTATATGTATTCAAAAGAAAGAAGCTGGCTTGCAGGTGGGGTTGGACAATCTTTATATGCCACATGTATGAATTAACTAGTTATTTTTAAACTTATCTGAAGCCTTAAAGAGCTATTCCAGGACAGATATACTAACTCACCTTCAGGTTTTCTGGTCCATTGCCTTACTAGCATATCATGTACTCAAAATAACAGCTTTTTCCACAGCTGGCTTGGACAAGTATATTACAAGCATATAGGAATTTATCTAACTCTTTATAGCATAAAAAAAAAGATACTGAAAACTTGCAGCAGAGTTACTTTAGTGCATATATGGAACTGAGAAGCCAAATTAGCCATGTATTATAACACTTGGGCCTAAGACAAACTATTTAAAAAGTATTTCTCCTGGCAAAGAAGATGCAAAGGAGTTAATTTAATTAAGGAGGATTTAATTGAATGAATCTTAGCAACAGTTTCTAACCACACCACTTCGCACAGCACCTCCTTTTTTGCTGCTTTGGTCACTAATACACTGTTAGAACGGACAGTTCATCCCCTCTCTTAGAACCACCACACTGGTCACAATAGTGGCCAGAGAATATATGCTTTATTTCATTTCTGGTTTTAGTCATTACAAACTGTCCTACACTGAACTTTCCTACAAAAACTACTGAGAGACTCACCAGTCTTAACAGCGATGGATAAAAAGAGTGACAGCATACCACAGATCAGGTTAAAATAATTTTTCAGTCTGCATAAAGAACTTTCAATCTGTCTTCTTCATGAACAGAATATTGTTGGAACTTTGAATTTATTTAGCCTACAATGATTTGCTCTGGGAATTTTTCAGAGGGACATGAACTGAAACATTACTTAGTGTTAAGCATTCTGCAATACAGCATTACCTCTTCTGTTGTATTTTGTTGCTATGGAAGCAACATGAAGGTATTTAAAATACCTTAAGGATATAAACAGGCACTGAGAGGGATCATCGAATCTAAGCAGCCATTTAAAGGAGGAAACAGGACACATATCTAAATGAACAACCTGAAACATTCCACTTAACACCTAATTATCTGCTAGAATAAAATATACATGTTACTCTAGCCCCGCGATCCAATTTCCTGTATGAAATATGAGGAGACTCATGAAGCAGAAATATAGTTAATAAACACAGTAACATTTACTAATTTCATGGGTTTCTTTTGTTTCAGCAATGCCATCCCAATCCAACTTAGCAATTTGCCTCACTTCTGAAAGTACGACTAATAACCCACAATTGAACTCAACTATTAACTTCTGAACTGTTAACTTTCCTGTGTGACCTAGTCTAGGTGATCCTGCTCTGGCAGGAGGGTTGGACTGGATGATCTTTCGAGGTCCCTTCCAACTCCTAATATTCTGTGATTCTGTGACCTATACCCTGTAGAAGGAGCCGGAGTTCCAGACATCAGCTTAATTTTCACTTAGTACAAAGTTCATCAGATCACTCAGCAAGGAATTAGATTGTTTTTTAAAGTGTACTAACATAAATGGAATACCTAAGCCATGCTCATCACAGATGTTTCCCAATGAGATCAATACTACATACAGTATCAAACAAACCATCTGTCCTAGGTCAATACATCAAATTTTAGCTAGAACTCAAATTCATTTGTTGAATGGCTATGTAGAGTAACAGTCACAAAACACTTGTTATTGAAATAATGTTAAAAACTTTATGGTCCACACTCCTCTTAGTTTTCAATGGTGATAAAAAGAGATTTTACAACATCATCTGGCTGTGAAAAGGAGTCTGAAGCAGTTAACCAAACTACTGGGTTCCACCCCCTCCTTTCTTTTTTGCTGAGTAACATTCACTGCTGCTTTTTAAGACCCCAGCAGCAGAAGAGCACAGATGCATATGATAACCCATCAAGGAGGGGTCAGCAGCCACAGGACTGGAGAGCCATGCATGTAACCAACAAGGGGATACCTCCTGCTCACTCTCCTGTAGATGCTGGGAGGTGTCACAGGAAAGTGGTATTGTCACACCGCAATTCCTGATGCTTTGAATAAGCTGAAGGCGGAAAGTTCACTTTCCCAGGACAGCCTTTCAAGCCCACTGCTGTCAAGGACCCTAGCAGGGACAAGGTGAGGCGGGACAAAACCAGCATTTTGGTTCCTGTCATTTTCCCTTTTCTCTACTGGTCTACCAAGTGGTTCACAACTGTGGGACAGGACATTCTTGCCCTCCACACACTTTCCAGTCCAACCCTGTGACACAGCTTGAGAGTGACTCTTATGTGCTATCAATTCCTTCTCTTTATGGACATTCAGCAAGTCCTCTTTTTGCTACTCACAGGATTTAGTTCTGGCCCTCCCACACTGAAGGACTGGGCTAGCATCACTGATCCTTCCCTGGAAGAAGGATTCCAACAATCAGTGAAGGAGTGAACATGGCTTAAGCATAAACCATTACATACTTGAAAGGCTTCATTTTCAGCCAAATATAGCAGCGCAAGGAGATACAGAATCCTGGACTTCACTGCTCTTTCCCAGCCTCATAAAGGTGCTTGAGAGTAAGCTACTGTATGGCAGCAGTTTCACTTGCTTTCAAAAAATGATAGAAAAGCAGCAACAGAAACCCACTGAAAACCTCTTCCAAATAATGAAAGTGAAAATAAGTAGAAGTAGCAAGAGAAACCAAATGTTCCCTTCTCTCTGCAACCACAGACAGTAAAGACTGGGGTTTAGTAACCTGTATCAGGCTCCAAATACACACACAGGGAAACACAGATCATTAAGAGAATTACCAAAAATGCTTTAATAACCAGTGAAATGAGTTTAGTAGAAATCAGTAGCAATAACTGACATTAAGGAGGAAGAAAGCTATATGGTCAGATTTCTCTTTACTGCATGAAAATAAAAGAAAAAACTCATTCATTAAGCAAATATGAACACTACTCAAATCAGTACTTAGTTCTTGGCAGATATTACCCTGACTGGCCAGCAACCACAGTACAAAAATGAAAATTAAAAAATAATCTTAAAAATTCACAGCCAAAAATCTGTTTCCTGGAATCAAAGAAACTATTTCAAGAGTGATCAAAATAAAAAAGCAGTATTTCTTTATTTCAGAATGTTTGCAGATCAAATGAAGAGACAGTAAAACAGTAGAACATATTTTGCATGGAAGTATTACAGGAACTTTTCCTTTTTGCAATTCAAATAACCTGGTTAATTTTAAAGAAGTTTCCACATATCTTTTCTTTAACAATCTACAGGGAACAGCTGAAGGAAAATACAACTTGACAGGACAAGACTTCCCATGTAAAAACATACAGTGCAAGTTACATATTTAACAAAATCCACAGCCTTACCAGACAATAACAATTCTTCTTGGATTTGTATTCCATGAAGCAATTTGATCAAATGGACAGATGTAGAGATGAGACCCAAGTTCCTATTATTAAATTGGGAAAAAAAAAACAACACTTGATATGAAATACACTCAAATAAAGCAAAAAGGCTTTTCACTGAAGTTAACAGCAAGTCTTTAGTATCTTCAGAAACTCTGAAATGAAAAGCAGTTTCTCATGCTCAACTGTGCCTGACTATCAGTAGCCACACTACTACCACCAGAAGGAGCAGGTCTACCGCATCAGCCTGCATATTAACAATTCTGGATACAGCATATTAACAATTCTGGATACAGTATCTTCAGAGCCAAGTACCTTTTCCTCTATTTTTGCTATTCTTCTAAATCAGATGTTAAAACTTAGCAGGTTATTCTTGCAATTTAAACAGCTTTATTTGCATAAAAACTTTTCTTTCTTTGAAGTTCAAGTGTTCAAAGAAAGTGTCAATGTATGCAATAAACATACTTAATAATAAACTTTGAGGATTTTAAATGCCAATGAAGTGATTAGTGATGACCATCAAATGAACAACAGGGCCAGTTCAAAGGGAAACACACAGAACTCTCAGAGGGAAGCAGGGAAGCTCAAGTAATCAATTATCCTTTCTCCCATGAGAAGGAATCATAGGTAGAATCTCAGAATGGTTTAGGTTGGAAGGGACCTTTAAAGATCACCTAGCCCAATCCTCCTGCTATGGACAGGGACAACTTCCACTAGACCAGGGAGCTGAAAGCCCCATCCAACCTGACCTTAAATGCTTCTAGACATGAAAAAGCATGGTGATGGTGAAGATAAACCAGTGAAATAAAGCCATTTAGAATGAGTAATGCCAAACTAATTCTGCAGCCAAAGATTAGCAATCCTGGAAGTAGACAACATAAAGGCCAGGATGCACATGCAACAGGAGTAAAAAAACAAAGTCAAAGAATATAGTATAAACAGATGAAGTTATTGGCTTTTAACTCATTTGTACTTTAATAGTCAAGCTTTTGAGAAGAAAGTGGCCAAGATAGTGGCTGAAACTTCTGAACACAGCAATACCATCTCTACCAAACCTCCACACCAATGCATGAGTTACTTAAAAAATATCATATCATCACATATGAACATTGAATAATTGTCTTCTGCAGATGTTTGCTAGACAAACAGATGCTCTTTGCCATTAAGTTCTAACACAGAAGAGAAGCCAAAGTTACATTTATAAACATATAATACACATATTACACAATGGTATACATTATGGAACACAATTATACACACAACGGTATACATAAATCTATTAAAATCAAAACGTTTTCCATTCCTTCAGACCCCAAATTTCTTCACAGCACACAAAGCAGAAAAACTGACCCTGTAAGGAAAAAAGCTTCATATTCCCCAATAGTTTAAAAGCTGTTACACAATCCACGTGTTTATAATCTTTGCACTCGTCCCTAGAAACAATGTTTCAATTTTGAACAAACAATTTGCAGTTTGCCTTTTCTTTTTTTAATATCTGAATGTTACACACTTCAATATCAAAAGCACAGAATTTTCCTTCTATTCTTCCTTTTTGTCATTCAAGACATTCTAAAGAAGTTGCGCATTTACAAACATGTAAAATCAACACAAATATATGGCTAATACACAGCTGGCTCAAAGTACCCAGTGTGGTACTAAAAGGAGCGTAAACTGTTACGCTACTACAAAGGCAAAGCAGTATCTGATGAGTGACACATTGAGTTATTCACTGTTACAAACATGGTCAGAACTTCCTATACACACAGGCCTTCCTCCTCCTGCAGTCTAAAGGAAAGTACAATTACTAGCACCCAGCTTCCTAAATGAGCAAGGCTATGCTAACTGCATAGTGAGGGCAAGTATGCAGCACAGGTATAACCAGTACAGAGCACATTTTTGTTCAGAAGCAGGCTGGATATCTGTATGTCATTAGAAAGTAAAACTTTTTTTTTTCCCACTTTCTAATGGCATTCAGATATCCTTAACAGGCTGTATTTGTCACACTACTGAAAAGGGCAATCCTACCAGCTCCCAGCCATACAACTCTTTTCCTTCCATTTTGTTAACATGAGTAACTATGGAGCTCAATATGTTACAATAAGGAACCCAGTCTGTCTGAACTTCTACCATGCAAAAATTTATAAAAAAGCATATAAAGTTTCTGTCAAATCAGTTCCTTAACCCACAACATGATCACAAGTGCTAGCACTGCCAGGAACAAAAAGATAAGAGCCTGAACTTAGATTTACCTTACTCTAAAGCTAATGCCTTCTATAAGAAGTCCTGCAACTTTTGTGGCATTAACAAAATTCTGGCTCAGCACAGAAGTTGCAACTTTGTTCTGTGTCAAAATTAGATTTAGTTCAAGAAACTAAATTATATGATTGTACTCCACAACAATTCTGCATGATCTAACAAAACTGTTGGGGTCAGGTTTTCTTTTTTGGTTGGTTTTGAGTTCTTGGGGGTCAGGGAGGGAAATGTCTGTTGTTCGTCGTTTTTTTATTTTAAACAGCAGGTAGACTACCAGGTTTTCAGTAACTACAGCTGGTTGCATCCCAAGCATCCCCTCCATGTTGCAACAGATGCAGGCAAAAAAAGAAAGGCTAAATAACTTAAGTAGCCAGACTGATAATTTATTATCCATTAATATCAGTTTGCCTGTATATGTATCAGGGTTGGTACGCACACCTCTACGCAATATACTTTGTGGACCTAAACGCACCTTATAAAACATACTAATCCTGTAACTGATTATTAAGGCTATTTACTTATTTGTTATGTTATCCAATAACTTAAACAAATGAAAGAGAAATAAAGGGTATTTCTACAGTTAGAATTCCAAAAGGCTTATATCGTTTGCATAATCAGCTTGTACTAAGGACACAAACACTTTGTTCTAATATCCAGCAGTGCCCCAAACTCTGCCCTACAAATAGGTCAGTTATTTTTGTTCCTTGCATACTTCATTTCAAGTAATTGCATCAAGCAGGAAATATCAGTTAATAAATCAACTAACACAGCAGTGTAAAATAAGAATCTCTATATAAAACCACACAAACATCAGAAGGTTGTATTTTTGTATGGGTTAAAACAGATCATAACTATACCTCATGATATGTTGATTCCTGGCACACTCAACACAGGCATTCCTCAGACATCTGAAACACTCCGCTATGAGCAGCAAGCAGGTGTCTAGATCTACCAGTTCACAGGAGTCCTTGTAGGCCCGCTCAATTTCACTTGAGGCGCTCACCAGGACTTCTAGGAGATTCCGAAATACACTTTCTTCTGCCATTTCTCTGAAATAAATACATTTGTAGTGAACAAAAAAAAGTGCTGCTATCAAAAAGCATCCTGTTATGACAGTTATGCTACTTATTGTAAACCTGAATGTATTTCTGCATCAATCTATAAATATCCTTAGTATACAAAGTCTTTCAAGTAGAAAGAACAAAATAAAAGCGCACAATCATCACATCAGCCTTTTCAGAAAAGAGGCTGTGAGGGAGTAGTGTTGCCTTAGTTTCTCCAGCTTTCCAACAGCTCTTTGAAATAGAAACAATAAACAAACAAACAGTCTCCCTAATGCGTAATAGCCACCATGATTATACATAACACTGCATGTTGTTTTAAGAATCAGGAACTGATTTAATTAATGAACACAGATTTTGCTTGGAAAGGAGATAAGGGCAACGCATTACAAACATTGCCAGCTGGGCTTTGATACTACATGCTGGCAAAAAGAAGACACACTAAAGACTTCCTATGGCATTGCTACAGGAAAGCTCGATAAATTTGCTCATCCAACGCTTCCGACCAGAGTCAAAAAATGGGAAATCCAGATGCAGCTTCCTTGAACGTTAAATACACTTGTCATGTACTCAAGATCAAATAGGAAAGTTGGGATCCAAGACATGAGGTTGAGAAATACCTCCTAAACTATTAGCAGAAGAAAGAGAGATGAAATAGAAAGTAATATTAAACAAAATACGTTCACACAGAAAACTCTTCCTAAAGAAGAACTTAAAAATTTCTTGATCAAACATTAGTGAATGATACAGTACTACCTGTGTTCTGCTGCTTGCTCAAACATTTAAATATTTACACAATTAGAAATTCTACCTACTCTTTATCATAAGTGATGACACACAGAATCATCGAAACATTAGGCTAGAAAAGACCCGTAAGATCATCGAGTCCAACTGTTAACCTAACACTACCATGTCCATCACTAGACCATGTCCCTAAGTGCCATCTCTACATGTCCTATCTGGAACACCCTCAGAAGTATCTGAAGACTGTCACATTTCCCACCTCTGCTCCTGCCATATTCTCTTTCCTGGTCTAAACAAAACGGATTCTCTCAGCCTTTACTCACAGTTCACGTTTTCTAAGCCTTTTATCACTCATGTTGCTCCAATAGTGACACTTTCATGTCCGTCTACATCTTACTGATAGTACAGTGCACCCAATATTAAAGCCTCCTAGGGTGTGGAGTAGACTTACAAAGAAGGTAGAGCACTTGTAAGAAGTGCAACAATGTACACAACTACTAAATTACCACATCAGCTTTCAGTTCTCCAGAAAAAAAAGATTTTACAGTGGTGTAAAACTGAGGTGTAAATACAGAAGTACCAAAGCAGACAAAGACCAAAAGCAGAGCTGGCCTTCAATTATATGAGGAAAACAAACAAACAAACATGAAACAGTGGAGCTTATATAACCAAAAAGAAGGTTTGCCATTTGGTTTTGTTTTTAATACATAAGAAAAGACATTCAAGGGACTTGAATCTTTGACTTACAAGAAGTGGTGCAGCTCCTGCCGTTTCATGACAGGTACACATGCCAAAAGAAGATTCAGTGGCTGACATACCACAGTACACATGGTAAATGCATCCCCCCACAAGTTTTTGTAAATGCTCTGGTAAAGAAGCACCCAGCCAGGCTCCATCTAAAACACACAAAAGTCATGTTTTCTCTGTTGAGCGAAGATGCCATACAGAACCACTAGCTGTTAGTCAGCTGAGTTTTTAAACACTGAAATTATTCTAAAATAGGAAAACTCTCAGTCCAACTGCAGTTTCCTTTTATTTGCCTAAGCCATGTGTTGGATTAACACATGAAACTAGTCATTTCCTGACACAACTTCAAAATACAGAAATCAGTGGTCAGTGCAAGATGTACTACTGTACAACATTCAATTATTTGAAATTGGTAAAACAGAAATGAAAAAAAGCTGCAAGTACTTTTGGGTACATTCTTGTGACCTGCTGGTAAGAGGACACCTTAAAGTTACTCTTATCCTGGAAAAGTTTCTGCTCTCACTACAGAGTTATTAGGCAGAACTTTTAGTCAGATACTGGATCGCAAGCATACTGGGCCATTGTGACTACTTCTCCCTTATTATTAGATTGAAAGTAAAAAAACTTTAAAGGCTGTAAACATTTCCAGTAAAATACGAAGATGAAACTTGCCTGTCCTAACAGAGTAAGTGTGAGGTACACAAGGAAGTGCCTGTCCTCACTGTGAATGTGGAAGCAGATGTGGATTTTTATATACTAGTGAGGAGAGAGAACTCCAAATCTCTCTTTTGCACCCTATGCAAGAAAACAGACGTGCTCAAGTCAGATCTTCCTGGGCAGATGTCAAATCTCTTCCCACAATATAAAAGAAAACCTTATTCCAAATGAAAAAGGAATGACTAAAAGGCTGTTTTGTAAAGCAGGATTCCATTCAGAGAAAATTTAAAGATGACTTCTATACTTAAGCATTTATATATCATTGCAATTCGAGTGTATACTACAAATGAATTTTAATTCAAATCAACCTTCTGCCCAAACTCCAAAATTCTCAAACTAGTGAGGAGGATAGGAAGTGTTAAGCTAAGAACATTAAGAAATCAGTCAAGAGTGATTTCAGGTAACTGTTCCACAGCAATGCTCACAACCATTTTGAAAAAAATAAACCCTTTGCAGCATCACAACAAAGATTCACATACAGATAAAAACAGCAGATACAAGTGTTTAAAATGTATTTTTGGAAAGGAAAATATTTTCTTTCCATAACCATTTCCCTAATCTTTAAATATTAATCTATAAAACTAGCAAAGAGACTACTAAGTAGCTTTTATACTAAAAAATACCTCCTGTTGTAAACAGGCCTAAAAATTCATTCAGAACTGCTCTGTGGATATTCCACACACTGCCGTTTCCTATGTTTTGTTGCCTAAGACAGAATCTTCACAATTTGCTATGGAAAAGCAAATTCCTTCCTTTCGGGCAGTTGGAAGTTCCACCTGACTGGAGGTTGGCAAATGTGATGCTCATTTACATGAAGGGCTGGAGGGAGGATCTGGGGAACAACAGACCTGTCAGTCTGACTTCGTGCCAGGCAAGGTGATAGAGCAAATCACCTTGAATGCCATCACGAGGCATGTCCAGGACAACCAGAACATCAGATCCAGTTAACATGGGTTTATGAAAGGTAGATCCTGCTTGACCAATCTGATCTCCTTCTACGACAAGGTGACCCACTTAGTGGATAAGGCTCACCTCAAAGGCTGTGAATGTAGTGCACCTGGACTTGCCCACAGCATTCTGCTGGAGAAACTGGCTGCCCATGGCCTAGACAGACAAACTCTTTTCTGGGTAAAAAAAACTGGCTGGATGGCCAGGCCCAAAGAGTGGTGGTGAATGGAGTTAAATCCAGCTGGAGTTCAGTCACAAGTGGTGTTCTCCAGGGCTCAGTGGCGGGGCCAGTTCTGTTTAACATCTTTATCAATGATCTGGACGAGGGGATTGAGTGTACACTCAATAAATTTGCAGATAACACTAAGCTAGGCAGGAGTGTTGATCTGCTTGAAAGTAGGAAGGTTCTACAGCAGGACCTGGGTAGGCTGAATCGATGGGCTGCAGCCGATTGTATGAGGTTCAACAAGGTCAAGTGCCAGGTCCTGATGTTGGGTCACAACAACCCTATGCAACGCTACAGGCGTGGGGAAGAGCG